CAATGCTCTAACCACTGAGCAAAACCGGCTAGGGTGAGAGAGGAAGGGAGAGAGAAACATCAATGTGAGAGAAATATCCATCAGCTGCTTCCCATATGTGCCCCAACCGGAGATCAAAGCCAAAACCCATGTATGTGCCCTGACCAGGAATGGGACCCACAACCCTTCTGTGTATAGGACAACATTCCAGCCAACTAAGCCACCTGGCCAGGGCAGGAGCAAAGGTTTGACTGGGACTTTATCCTGAAAAATTAAAGTACGAATTAAGAAATGAGGAAGTTTGTCACGTGTTTAACAATATTTACAATCAGATGACTGGGGGAAGTCTCATTTTTGAACAAATGCCAGTGAGCTGGCACCATGATGCTAACAGAGCCTCACTTTTGACCCCCATCTAAAAAGAGAAGTGAAAGGCTTAGTTGAGTTTTTCAAGGTTTTAAAATTTTAATCCTACTCTTAAAATATATATATATATATACCTTTTATTGACTTCAGAGAGAAGAAGGGAGAAGGAGGGAGAGAGATAGAAACATCAATGATGAGAGAGTCATTGACCGGCTGCCTCCTGCACACCCCCAACTGGGGATCGAGCCCACAACCCGGGCATGTGCCCTGACTGGGAATCGAACCACCGTCTCCTGGATCCTAGGTCGACGCTCAACCACTGAGCCAGGCTGGCCGGGAAATCCTCCTCTTTTAAGAATCTTGAGTATGATCTTTCTCTATTCTCTCTCTCAGCTGCAATGGGCCCGCCTGTGGAACCCTTAATCAGCCCAAGGCTTTGTGGGGATTCTCCCCATTTCTCTTTCTTCCCATCCCAATTTTACAGTTTGCAGTTTCATTTGGTTTTTGATTTGCATCCGATTTGCAATGGGTGTTAATGGGATGGGCAGCCTCACAAATGCCATTTCCTGGCCTGATTTCCTTCTACCCAGACCACCCTACCCATCCTCCCCTACCCCATGCATCTCACTGCTCAGCTCCTCTGCACCCAGCTATTTTGGAAGTGTTTGCAGGTCCAAATACTGGTTGATGGGTGGGTCTCTACAAAGAATGAGCATTGACTGAGCACCTACAGTGTGCTGGCACCACTGGTCCCTCAAGGTGTGGGATGATGACTGCCCCCCCAAACCTTCTTGTGGCCACCAAGCCTTCCCTCTGCCTCTGGGTCTTGGGCAGGAGGGAACCTCCTCTGGGACATATCTTGGTGCCACCCCAGTGGCAGGTGGGGCATTCCTTACACGTTGCCTGCTTGGTGGCCCTGACTTGGACCAAGGGACAGGTAGCACCAACAGCCA